AGAAAAAAGGAGAAACCTAAGACTAGCATGAAACATGTATTCACAGTTTTAAGTCTTCGCAATTTATTTCAGCCCTGAGGTGACATTAATTGACACATTAGCAAGTTATATACTGTGTTATGTGCCTATTTAGCCTAGGATTCAATAAAAATAACACCAGGGAAATCACTGTAACACATTGCATATACATCATGTGTTTAAAGTAGGGAACACCTTACAAAAGCAGACACAACATTAATGATAAGGTGTTGCGGTTAATTCACAGACTGCCTCTGCAACACATGTAATTGAACTGCCAACTGTCAGTTTGTAGAGTCATCTTTACAATATTTTCAGGCAAAATGTTATAATTCCTAAATATTAAAGAGAACTGAAATATATTTGAATGAGGTCTGGTTTTCCATATCAATATACTATAGTGTACACCCACAAAAAGAGTAATCACTCATTTTTTGTTAACAGTAAAACTGAGATGCTAATACCTGCTCCAAACAGTATGCCTACTATAAGAAGTCAAGTAATATGCATTTAGAATAGTAGGGTAAAAGAGTTACATAGCTCACGTTGTTGCAAAAAGTGGGAAACAAAGTTTTCTTTCACAAATGAAGGGAAAATTCAGCATTTCAGAATCTCAAAATTCCGTTCTAGCCAGTGAAACTATACTATTGTCCAATTTTTCTGTAAGGAAAGTTTAGGAATTCTTTCATTGTTTATTTTTTATGCTTTCTTTTCATTGAATAAAATGAATTAAAGAAAGACTCTTACATGTAATACTATAGCTATCACTAGAGCCAGATCTGTTTAACCTTTCAAGTTCCAAGTCAGGTAACAATCATGAAGATTGTTTCAGTATGCTCCTGTTTTATTTATTAAATATACCCTAATCTAGATTAATAAACCAGGGATAATTGATATACCAAAAGATGCACATTCTGCACATTCTCAGTAGCTAGAGAATTATTACAGAAACGTTAAGATTAGTGTGCATGGAGAATGAATAGCAATATCTGGGTGTGGAAGCATCAGAAGGAAAAAACAGCTGGAGAGCAGTTACAAGGATAGCCTGTGTTCATAGCACCTGGATTAGCAGGTCATCAAGGTCCTAGCACATATCTACCTACAGTTTAGCAGGACACCCAGATGAGGAGGCAAAGGGCAGTGAGTAAATCCCAATGATTTGCCAAAGCGAGACAGGATGATGAAAATAATCACAGTCAGGTTACAAAAAGGCATATCCAAAACCAAGATGTGGGAAGAAGGTATAAATGAATGAATAAAATCAGTTTAGATTTAAAATAAATCCACTTTCCACTCCTAAGAGGTCTTGCATTGTTGCTACAGCAATGCAACATTATTTCCTACAAACCCAGAATATTTTATACTTCAGCACCATAAAAGCAAATAATCGATAACCTGTGTTCACAGCGTTTTCTGCAAAAACATACTGAATTAATTCACCTGCTTTGTTATAATTGGGCTAAGATTGATTTCAGTATTTTTGGATTACACCTTCTACTAACTCCCAGAACTCTACAAGCAGATCCTCAGATGGTTTACATTGCTACAGCTTCGCTAAAATCAAGAGAGCTACAGCAATCTACACCAGCTGTGGATCTGCTACATTACTTTGTTACTGGGCACAAGCAGAACTCAGCTGCTTGCATTCTTGCTTCAGATCAGGTGTTTCATGAAGAACAGACTGCTAAGACTGGATAAACATAGAATTGAGCTCCTTTTAAAAGCATAATATATATAATCAGGTGATCTGCAATTATTAAATGATTAATAATTTTTCTGAATAGCTTTATAGCAAATACTATGAACGTTTTATAACTGGGAAATTGACATCTGGAAAGCTAAGGGACTTGTCTGTGGTCATAGAGTGTTTCAAGTTTTCAGCTATAGGCTGTCCCAATCCACATTTTAACTACAAGACTTGGCTTGTCTTTCACTGAGGTTAATAAATGATTGCATGCTATTGAAATAATGATCAACCTATTTAAGCTGTTTTCTTGAGTGTTTAAGCTTAACTGCAAATAAATTTTGTTCTGTAGTGTTAAAGTTCGGCTTATGTGTTGCAAGCTAGGTCAGGTATTATGTGGTACCACTGGTGATGAGACTTGATTTGACTTGTAATACTGCTAAACTAAGAAGTAGTAATTGTTCTACAGACAGTTGTTTCTAGATATCAAAAAATTCATCTCGAGGACAGATCTGCAGAGATAGACGGGCCTGCAAAACTGTCATATGCTTAGGTCTGTAAATGCTGACAACTTCTCTTTCTTAAATGTATACAGAATTCATAAGTAAACTTTTTTGTTGTTGTTGTTTAAATAAAGCAACAGTATATCTGGCTTTATTCATCAACAGTAAGGGAGAGGTGATTGGGTGTATCTTCTATCCAAAACCAGAATTATGATTATCACATTCTATGTTTTGTTATCGTTTAATCAGCTGGCATCACACTGCAATGGCTTGTACTATATAAGGTACACATCAGTTAAAGATGACTGATTCTCGGGTTAATCATTATTAAAAAAAAAAAAAAAAAAGAGACATAAATTACTGCTGTGATTCTCTCTTTCTCTTTGTTTCATTGCAAGTAGGAAGAGTTCTGCCCTATGAGTGAGGAGCATAGGACTAGGCACAGATGAGGTCTTTAGCACAATCAAAGTGACAATTAGGTCCCTACATCCTTTATTGGAGCTGTTTAAAGCAGCCTGTTAGCAATCTGAAGGTAACTTAAAAGCTCAAAACAAAACAAAATATCCCAGCAAAGAAGTCTGGCTGAAAACTTTTCATTGGTGTTAACATAAGACAAAATGTTGTCAGATCTTTTCTGAACTACTTTCTGAGTTGCAGGGATTTGGATCATGTACATGTTGGAAAAAGCTGAAATTTTACCTTGTAAGCTAACAGGGTTCTTCACTGCCACATGGTTCTCAGCTTTCTTATGGCCTTGTCTTCCAGCAAGCTTGTCCAAATAGATTTGAAACAGCCATGCTGTTGGGGGTTTCCTCAGCATATGTGATTGCCTCTTGAATTCCTAGTAGGGCTGGGAGAGGGGCCTCAGAGAGAGCACAGTACAGATTACTGCAGCCATCTCTTCTGCTGAACATTGGAGAAATGCAGTGGAGACCCTGACTGTTTTGTGCCAGCGCAGCTGCTCTCTAGGACATTTTCTAGGTTATTTCTCCCTATTATATCACAGGGTCCAGACTTCTACTGGTGTTGGATTTGTTGGATTTGTTGATCTTGGATTTGTTGAACTTGGATTTGTTAACTGTTCTGTTCTGACCTCTTCCATTCCTTCTGCTAATGTCAGATCCTAACCTCACCTGTTGCACAGAGGTGGAAACTTGGAAAGAGAAGAGCTGAAAAAAAAGCATGGGTGAGCTGGCACTCCTGTTTTTCTAAGAAATTAATGTTGCACATGCAAATAATTATTTTTGTTTAATTCCAGTCTGCATGAACAAAAGAAAATAAAGCTCTTAGAAAAATGTATCTATATTAAAAAAAAAAAAGTCATCTACTAGAATGTCTTATTTTTTCTTCACTGTTGCACATTCACTCACAAAAATGGTCTAATCAATCATCTGATTTTTAAAAAGATAGATTTTTGTGGGGTTTGGTGCATTGTCTTTTGGAGAAGAAAGCATAAAAAGACATCTACTGGCCCTCTAATTCTTGGGCTAGGGCAGATTTCTTTAAAAAATAAGAAAAAAAGAAAAAATCTACAGCCTGTCTTTATGTGAAAAGTTTGATAAAGAGTTTAAGATTTGACTAATAGAGTCCATACTGCATGCAGGTAACAGAGTCAAAACTCTAGTGAGTGGAAATTCTCTGTCTCAATGGGGCTACAACATAACCAGCCTCATCCATGTCCTTCTGTTTTATTAACAGACTTTTACAGTGAATCTCTTACAATTTGCTCTACCAGCTGTGTGTTCTTTTATGAGGTAGAATAACAGAATCAGTGAATGGGTTAGATCACCTAGTTCCAACCCCCCTGCCACGGGCAGGGACACCTTCCCCTAGCCCAGGTTGCTCACAGCCCCGTCCAACCTGGCCTTGAGCACTGCCAGGGAGGGGGCAGCCACAGCTGCTCTGGGCAACCTGTGCCAGGGCCTCACCACCCTCAATGTAAAATATTTCTTCCTTACGTCTGATCTAAATCTTTCAGTTTAAAACTGTTGCCCCTTGTGCTGTCACTATGGGTCTTGGTAAAAAGTCTTACAAGCCCTCTGCAAGTACTGGAAGGCTGCTATAAGGTCTTCCCGGAGCCTTCTCTTCTCCAGGCTGAACAACCCCAACTCTCTCAGCCTGTCCTTGTAAGGGAGGTTTTCCAGCCCCTTGAACATTTTTGTGGCCTCCTCTGGACCCACTCGAACAGGTCTGTGTCTTTCTTGGGCCAGGGACCCCAGAACTGGACACAGGAGCCAACTGTGAATGGTTTCTGCCTTTCTCTGGATGTTTTCAGCCCTTTGCCTGCCATTCCTCCGAGGTAACTTCAGCCAAGCTAGGCTCACTGAGGGGGGCTCCAGCTACTGCAAGGACCCCCCTCCGTCCTTCAACCCATGAGCTCCTGCACCTGTTTGATCCTTCTCTCCTGCAGAGGAGGCAAACTGCTGCAAAACTGTTACTTTCGTGTGCACGTTATTGAAGATCTTTTTAGATTTCCTAGGGAAATGTCTCTTTTCCCCTTCCCTTCCAGCACCTCTTCCTCAGCCTTTTAGGGCGTCGTGTTCGGCCTCACGGTGCGACAGGGTAACTCCACCAGCACGCTCAGGTACAAACCCCGCAACCACCGGGAATCGATTATTTGCTGTTAGGATGCGGAAGTGAAAAATACGTCTTATTTGTAGGGAATAACGTGTTCATCAGCAGAGCCAGGTGTTACTTTCTGCCCGGACAGAAATAAAGTCGGGGGCCGGCTTCCCCGCCGCGGCCTGGCTGCAGGCCAGAGCGCCGGGAGGCGGGGCCGGATGAAGCCGGGGAACGGAAAGCTCCGGCCCGGGTTTCCTGGAGTCCGGGCGTCTCGGTGCCATCCGGGGGAAGAGTTTAGGCGGCAGCAACCCCGGGAGGTATGAGGAAGGTGGAGGTGTGGTAGTTTCTCCAGGTCGTTCCCTTCTTCGTCCCTGTGTGCCGCCCTTCCCCTCGGCCAGCGCCGCGGCGGGCTCCGCAGCGGCCCCGGGGCGCTGGGCC